AAAAGTGAACCTGTAAAAGTAAGTATTCGTTTTGTTATAAACTCAACAGTATTAATTCACATTTATTAAAGTGCATCATAGAAGATTTCTTTATATTTCTTATATAAAAACAAATAGTTAATTATTAACAAAAATATAATTTTACGAGTATACAAATAAAAATATGAGTACCCAGATATATTAAATATGTATTATTTAACTGGATAGTTATAAATAATGTTTGTAAATTGTATACAATTGACAAAAGTACCTTGCAATTTTGGCAACGTAAAATCGTTTTGTAAATTTCCTATTGAATTTCCATGAAAACTTCTGAAATATAAAGTCGATATAATCATAAAAAAAAAAAAATACAAAAATATGAGAAATTCAAGTTTCCAGAAAGATTATTGTTCGACTAATGAAATATTATTATATAAAAATGTAATTTCCATAAATTGAAGTTACTCCCACATATTTCGCATAATAGTATTATACAATACGTACAATGTACATTGTACTTATGTCAATAATGGTTAATTATCACTAAAATAGACTAAAAAATTTTTAATAGATAACATTGATATTAAAATGTTTAATTTTTTTTTTCTTGCTCTTATAATTTATTTTTTTTATAAATGGTTACATAACTTATATAGGTAACTATATAACCTAATATTATAATCACTTATATAATATTATCTCATCATCACAGCCATAGTTCATAACGTAGGTATGTTTTGAATTTTAATGTAGAATGTAGGTATAATAACAATAAATTTTTAAGTAAATTCACCTTATTTTGTTGAAATCAATAATAATATTATAATTTTTAAACCATAAATTTATTTGGTGGTAGGTACCCGTTTAATATTATGTAATATATTTGCATACCTACAGATAATGGTACTCGTTAACGTGAATTTATTTACTGTAATTCTGTGCTATAAGAAGCCTAGTCAATGTGGATTATTTTTACTATTGACATACTTATTTCGTCAAAGAATGTAGAACAAGTGTTTGAGAATTTTACATAGTGTCTATACTCTATAATAACTAAATACATTTTTTTTTTTATTTTTGATAATGTGGTATTTATATTTTTATAATAAGATAATTGCAATAAATACCCGTTAGATAAAAAATCAGAACATAATATTAAAGGTATTTAATTATAAACTTTAGGTTGGCGTATAGAGTTACTAGATACTGGTATAAATTCAGAGTGAAGGGTTATAACTTATAATAAAATATTTATCAAAATCAAATCGATTTTTGTTGTACAATAACATTATTTTATATTAATATTATTTTAAAAAGTATCATGCTATTTATATATATGTATACGGATATGAGTATTTAAAAAATAATATATCATTAAACATTGGTATGATAGAAATATATAATAAATAGCATTTTATACACATGCCTATTGCCTAGTATCAGTCATAAACCCATATTTATGAGAAAGTTATAAATAATTTGATATTTTTTTCATTGAATTTAGAACCAGCTTGCTCTAACTTTATGAATTAATTATGTCACAACTTAATCATTTGTTTTTTTAAGTACCTATTTATTTTTAAATAAGATAATACAATTTCTTAAAACAATAATTGTGCTGTTTTATATATTTTTTATTTATTCATATTGACTAATCATTTTAACTTAAATGCTTTATTAAAACTAATTTATTAAACATAAGGATATACATTTTATGACAAAAAAAGTAAACAATAACTTATACACGAAGAACGACGGTTTTTGCTTAGCTGTCAGAGATTATTTAAATCAAAAATCCATCTACTATTCGAAAGTATTAAATAACAAAACTTGATTATGTTAAATTTTAAAATTACATTTTTTTTCGTTTCATGTTGATAAACATAATAACATTTTCGTTTCTCTGTCATAAAGTTTTAAAATATATTTTTTAAAAGGTTTTTCATATGTTAATTTTAAAGAAACTTAAAAACTTCGAAAAAAATATGTAAATTATTATTATATGTATATTTTAAGATCAAATTTTGATAACATTCAAAGGCGTAATTTGGATTAAATTTATGGGAGTGCTAGTTTATGTTGATCGAAATAACCTATGGCCTGTGGGTGACTTTTCCTCCACACCACTTTCCTACAGCACCATTCATATATTTTCGTTACGCTACCTTATTATTTATTAATAATTTAATTATTATTAATAAATATTAATAAAGAAAATAAAACACAAATTTTAAATATAACTTACAAGTTATAAATAATTAAATTTTTTATTTTGATTTAAATATTATATTAAAGATATACGTTTTTGAGACATACTAAAACTATTTATTATTTTATCTTTATCAATTTTAGTGCTTAGATCTCTCTTAATATTAATAACTGTTTTCCATTTACCAAATAGTTGAAAGACGTTTCGGCGTAATTCTTATCGACTTATCGATAATTATTATATAAAATTTTCTTATGTAATTAATACATAATAATTTATTAATCATAATTCATAATATAAATAATAAATTGACAATAATATTTTCTATATTATTCTGCTCAGTGATTGGTACGTCTTATTATTATTATTATTATGAATATGAAAGTCCTAGAATCAAATCTATTCTAATGCCAATGACATAATATCATAATTCATAATTTATAACCAATAAAAATTCGATGATGTTATTAAAAATTTGGGGGTGCTAATATGAAATTTAAGAGTGCTAAGCACCCCCAAATTGCGCCTATGAATTGATATTGGATAATAACGGTTTATTCTCAAACAATTTTTATTATTTTGATGTTATTCAAAAATATATTAACCGTAGAAACTTGAAACTTTTCCAATAAATATCTATAATGTTATTTTCTATCCTCAACGAAAATTTAAAAATATTTACGTTAATATATACATATCACGGAACGTCGGTATTAGTAAACGGAAAAAAATCCGTGAAAAAAAGTTCAAGGAAAAAATAATTTAAAAAACATTTTATTTATCAGGTATTTACATAATTATTAATTATGCATTAATGATTATCATCGTAACTATTATTATAAACATTTCTTTGGTTACTTTTATGAACATTTCTAGGTTATTCTATTTATTAATTATTAGTTAATGCTGGATTGTAAATAAAAAACCACGATAAATAATTTTTTTATCATTTTTTATTAATGTTATACTATCCGTTATTATATAAGTACAGTATTACGGTTACTATAGTATACGACACACAGTTGACTATAGTGACCATTAGTGCTATATCGGTGGTAGGTACTAATGTTATACTTACTAATTAGTTTGGTATGGAAATACCCTTATTAGAGATATCGTTATGTATAATCCTGTCTCTAGTAAATAAATTTAAGTATACCTACCATAGTAAAACATACTTGAAAAGATGATTATTTAAAAAAAAAAAATATTTTTTTTTCAAATATTTTTTTACGAACTAATTTTAGTTAAATAATTTTTTCTCAGATTTTTTTTTAGTATCGTCGTTATTTATTTACAAGCTAGGTATATGATGCGATATTTTTGGAAAAATTAGTTCAACCTACCGAATCAAGGAAATACTAATACTATAAATATAATTGTAAAAATGTAATACATTAATCGCAGTGATCTACTCAATGACGAGGTACACTCGATAAAGGTATATAATGTATAGGTAGGTAAGATACTTGTTATATACAGCAGAATGAGTTGCCCAGTTTTTAAACACATTATGTACTTATAGGTATTTTCTATTGATATACATACGTTATGGGAAGTTGTCGTTCACATATATGCTTAGACGACTTTTACACTATATATAGTATATTGTGCACAATATAAAAAGTGAAATTAATTTCACACTTTCATTTTAACAATTGAATATGAAAATATTACCATTTGTCACGGAATGAAAAGTAATTTTGATTAGTAAAAATCAAAATTATTTAAATGGGGACGTGCTCGTCTAAAATAATCCCAAAACTCGATGTCTCGACAAAATATATTGTGCCTATACAGACTTTGTTCAACTTCAGAATATTAATCACTCACTGTATTATTCATGTATATTTATTACTTATATAGAAACAGGTACTTGGTAAATACGAGTTTATTCTATATTCTAATATTGGTTAAAAAGAATTATCGATACAACACACACCGCGCGTTTTCGGGTACGTCGCTACTGGAGAGGCGATACAATGTGATACATTGTTTGAATTCAATTTTAAAGCAAAATTTATCGCATTTGATAAATTATTGTTCCGGTGATTCGTCTCGATATCTCGTATACTTTATAATATATTATATTACATAATAGTTGTTATACACACCAATTTTTATAATGTATACGCCATACTAGTCATAGTATAGGTACGTAGATCGAATTACTGGTGGACGCGTCGTTACTCGTTATCGTCGTCGGGTTGTTGGGTCCTGGATAATATAGCATATATAGTTACCCGTTATAGCATATTATAATTATTATTGTTATTACGTTATTTTACGGAGCTCGGAAATTAAACTTTAACCCGTCTCGATTTTCGAAGGTCGCGTTTTGATCGTCGACTGACCTGCGCCTGATATCGTTTACTGCACGGCTATACACATCATATAGTTATGGTACATTGAAATAAAAATTACGATGCCTGCACAATGCGTTAATATAAAATCGCTCAAAAAAAAACCAACCGTTTGGAGGCGGAGGGGTTGGTACCAGGTGAGTGGTTAGGGTTATAACAGTGAGTTCTTAGCCGTTTTAACTTCCGACACGACTGCACGGACGGTGCGCGGGCGTGCGAAAAAAAAGCGAATAATTTGAAAAACTTAAATTAAACGAGCAGCGGAAATCGTTTTTTACCGAGATTGGCGCGTCTATAATTATACATCACACCGGCGCGACATACACACCACCGCCGTCACATCAGCCGCCGCCACCGCCACAGCCAGTCGCCGCCCAGAGACGAGTAGTCAAGTCGAAAAAGTGGCGCCCTCCTCAGTGCACGTTGCAATACGAACGAGTGTGACGGGCTTCGCGTAGTCGTTCATCGAGCCGCATCTTGTCCGGTGGTACCGTTCAAATGCAATATTTTTATTATTAATACGCTCGCGCGGTAAAACTCTGTAAGGCTTATACGTATCATAATAACATATCATATGCGGTCTGTTGTGATCGCGTCCGATGTGCTATAATATTGCATTTAACGTCAATAAACAGAATAGAAAATAACGCAATATAATTATTATAGCCATGACTCGTTAAGTCAAAAGAACCGTTCAAATTTAAAACGCTCATAGTTTCGATAAGTGTTGTTTTTCTCGCCCGAAGTCATATTATTATACAAAGTACCTACCGGACGGAAATATATAATAATAATAATTATTATTATTATATCGTAAATCGAGTGTACATGATGAACAACGTCGGCAATGATTATCTGGATTACCCGTACGACGATTACAATAATAAAAGTGAGTTAACCATTTAATATCAATCGTTTTGTTGTCATTATTATTATTACGTTTCATGATAAATGTTTTATCTTTATCCATTATTATAAACGGGCGTTGAGTTAAGTATTTATGATCAACCATTGTGGTCCGGGTCGAACAGAAGAAATAGTCGGTTTGTATTTCATAGTTGGTTTATTAAAATATTATAAACACGTAGGTACGTAATCATTTACGTATAATTTGTGAAATGTCGCATTATTGAAACCGACGACCCGTGTGTAGACCATATATCAAAAAATATACAAAGTTATTAATGGAGCTCAGAACAATGGTATTTATCCATCGGCTGATAATAATTATATTGAAGAATATAATTATGTGCGGAGGTCAACGATAATTATTATTTAAAATGTAAATAATATTTATTTTATAATTACTAATTAGCTACGTTATAATTTATTTATGTGACCATAATTAATCGGAGGCGAAAAGTAAATATTTAAAATTTGAATATTGATATTTAGAGTTTTTTAAATATTGAATAGGTATATGACTCTGCAGAAATACTTTTTTTCTTTCTTTTGAATAATACTTAAATACTTTTATATTTTATATAAATGTTTATTATTTTATTACAATTAAACATAACAATTTATATTTACGAATGAACAATTATGTGAATATTCACAATTATAAAATTGTGATAGTCATTTAGGCATCAAGAACATTTTTTTTTTTTTTTAAGTAAATATTTGAAAATTATTTAAAATACAATTGTTATGTTAATTATTCAGTAATTATTATAAATATTTTTTTCAATGTTATATTTTATTTATTTAAATACTTTTTAAAAGTATTCTTTACAGCCCTGTATTTACCATAGTTTATAAACCCACACCTCTAACATTTTCATATCAATATTTGTTATTTTAAACTTACCGTTTTTTATTTTTCTTAAATAAAAAAAAATGTAATATTTAGTAATATGTAGTATAATTATTTTATGAATGATTGTAACTACCAATTTAAAATGTTATATTTTCAATTTTACAACATAAAATTAATATTCAATTAGTTTAAAAAAATATTATTAACAATAAATTATATATGTTTTCATGATGAAAAGGACTGCTGCATCCCCTTCCTCCCACTAAGATACCGTTTATGTTTAGGAGTACCTTATTCCTGTAATATAGGTAGGTATAAAATATAAATAAGGTAAAAAGTAATTTACCCAATTCATGTAATATGTAACTAAGTGAATTATTATTGGCTATATTGTAAATAATGTATTTAGTGTCTTTTTTAAATCTTTCAGAATATTTGTTAAGATTTTATTTAAAAAACAGGGTCGTTTATACAAAACTATGTACATATATCTTGTTTTGAAATGTGCTGTACAATCCATCGCGGCAATTATTATTAAATACTATAAATTCAATAACCATTCGATTTACTACACTTTTGCAATGTCAAATACAATTTATATGATGAAACAAACAATTAACGTACATACATTTTTTTCTGAAAACTTTTGAAATGAAAATGGAACTTGCAAATATAATATAACGGTACCTAAATTTGAAAACAAGCTTATATGACTATCGTTATTCTGGAATTAATGGTGGTTTTGATATAATAAAATTCAATATGATCGGGTGAAATTGCACAACAATTATTTAGTTCAGTGAACATAGCAACATATATATGTAGGTACATACACGTACTTATCTCTTGTTTTCTATAAATCAAAAATTCAAGTTATTTGTATATTTGAATTCTTTGAAAAGAAAAGAAAATTTAATACTTCGAAGTATAGCTGTTTAGGTGCCTACTTCAAATAATCAATATTATTGTATTAATTTAATTTGTGTTCCAATCGTACGACAAATATAATATTTCCCATAGTTAGTGCATATTTATTAATTAGTACAAAGAATATAGATACTATAAAATAAATTCAGCTCAAAATTTCAAAATAAATGTGTTTTATAATAATTCGTAATTGTATATTAGGTAATACGATATAGTTGATTCTTAAATCTTCAACCTCATCAACATTTCTTTCTAATTAGAGCATAAATATATATAAATATTTTTTAAATAGTGTTTAAATAATATACAAATAATATGTTTATTTTGAATAGCTTGAATAATACCTATATGGTTATATGGTAAATAGTTTTTTGAGTTGGATAGTATTGCATTTTTAATTAAATTAATTGGAGGAGTAGCCCACATAAATATATACCTATTTACTTGGTTTAATGTTCTATATTACAACAAAATATAGTATATTATAATGGAAGTACCTATTTATTTACTATGAAAACTAAAAAGTGGTATGAACAAAAATTATTTTTATGTGTCTTAATTTATTATTTCAGTTTATCTAACCTATTATGGGTATTTTGTATTTAATAGTACCTATTTATAATGGTCATAATGTGAATAATTATAATAAATATATCTAATTGTTTAAATTAATTTAATAATGTATGATAAGACGAGCAACATAATTTTTTCAATTAAATAGTACCTAGTTATTTTAATATTTATCTACCTAATTCAAAAGTTAAATGATTTTAGTCAATGTTATCATTTAAATTTATTTTTCTAAATCATATTACTTAGTACTAACATTTAGGTTTTCACCTACAATAGCAATAAGTTATAATATTCATAAAATTACATAATTCATGAAATTCATATTTTTATATGTAATTTTATAAACGTCAATATATAATAAACATTTAAATATCTGCTTAATGAATAACGATAATGTATATAAATTATATATGTATATGCTTACTATTATTTTGAGTTATTCTTTTTACAATGAATATTCATTTTATCAAAGAGTCTTTAACTAAATTATCATATAGATGGAAATTTTTAATTTTTTTTTCTATAACTTAGTAATATAATATTTTTACCGTTAACATTTATTAAGTTTTTATTTTTTTTATTTCATACATTTTTAATTTAATTTCCCGAAATATCACCATATGAACAATTTACTTAGCTAGATGAAAATTGCTATAATAAATAGAAATCGAATTTCAAATGAGTAGCGAAATAACTAGTAGTTATCTATAGCTTATAAGTATAATATGTAAGTTTATGTGAGCTGAGTATTAAATATAGTTGACCAACATTTTGTATAGTAGTTACTCATATGCTAATATATATTTTAAATACTTTTAATTAATGTTCCGAACTTTTTGCATTTATATGATTTTGTATGTAGATTTTAAAATATTCCTGAAAATATAAAAATTTGTTTTGTGAAATCAAATACGAAGTTTTATTTGTATAGTTTTGTATATTTTGTCATATATAAAAAAGTATATTTTACATATAATATTTATACTATTATTTTAATAAAAGCGAATAAGCTTATTTTCATATATATATACATATACATATACAAACCTTTTTTTTATAATTTTTTTTAGTTTAATTTTTTTATTATTTTAACTGCATTTTATTTAAATACATTTTTGGTAATTTAAATTCACAAATCACATTCATACTTTGAAGAATTTTAACATAATTCGAAAAAACTAAACTAAACTTATAAAAAATTAACTATTTAATCAAAATAATTAAATTTTTTAATATCGAAATCTTTAGGAAAATATTTTGTTTTGGAATATGAAATTAAAAATGTATGATTTAAAGTATAAATGTTTAAAAATTGTTTTGTAGTGACTTAAAGTAATATTAAAATAATATTTTTGAAAACTTGAATGACTTTCTAGACTAAGATTGTTTACTATTCACTATTAAAAAAAAAAATCACCTTGTATGTTATACAATTAAATAGTCGCGTAGGTAATATAATATAGGTGTACCTATAGCTAATGTATTTACTCACGTCATAGTATTTTAAGCTAATTATTAAATCCCATGTAGTGGCAGGTACTAGTATAGAGACTATATGTGTATAGTATAGTATTCAGTGTTCACCTTTTACTGATTTTTAATGTTGTACAATAATGTTTCATGACGTGTATTATATTATAATATTATTTTAAGCTTATACATAATATTATATATTTAAACATCGCATGGTTCAAATAGTTTTTGTTAAACCTACAGAATAAGATAATCTACATGATATGAAATAATAAAATGATGGTTTGTTTATTATACACGTATGAGTACGTAAATATTGATATTTTGGAATTTTCGATTCATTTAAATGCATTATGCAGTGACCCGTCACCCATGGGGTCCCTGATTCTTGAAGTTACAGCTCTGTTCACTATGTATGGATGCATAATAAATACTAAAAAACAATGACTATGTGTAGTATTATACGTATAATGAGACATTGGTTTTTTGAAATTGATCGATTTGTCGTATAAGGGTTTATGTATACATAAAAGGTAATAAGTTTTCAAAAAAATAAAGGCTTATACGTCAGAGAAAACACAATATATTTTATGAAACATGTAGATAACACGAAGAAAGCGTGTGGTGTAAAATACATAAAAGTAAAGCCTACATCTGATCATTACTTTTATATAATATATACCTATTACGTTAACAATATATGATCTGTAAAAATTGATTCGAGACAAACTCTTACATTTGTTTAAATCTATAAACATTATGATATGTATATATAAAGATAAATATCTAAATGTTTACGCAATATAATAACAATGCAGTTATTATAATTTAATGTATTACAATTTTGAATATATTTATACACTGTAAAATATAAATTATAATATGCCTACTACCTAGTATACTACAAATCATTATAGCTTATATTATAGTCGGTATCATATTAGGAAATTATAAGATTATTGTTCATGATTAAATTTTATATTTATATTGATCAGGTACATGATCATATATTTACAATATATTTATATAAAATACTGAATTCATAAAGTATATTAATAAATATTAGGTATAGTTAGTTATTGCTATTTTACTTGAACAGTTTTAAATTTAAACCACTATTATACTTACAAAATAATATCCCATATTTTATGATTTCT